CTTGGACCTGTACCACATCAGCCTGACTGTGTAAACCTGTTGAACCGCCTTAGAGGGAACTGATTTGTTCAGTTCATTCAATCAGGTGCTGGATTTAAATCCCCACCTTGATTACTCTATCAGTGTGACCCGATGGTGGCGGTGTTGTGTCACTGCTCTAACCCTGATGCGGAAGTGTGTCTGTTTGGTTTGTTGTCACAGTAACTCAGTGCTGCAGCACCTGAGTGGCAGGTTCACTGCAGAACAGCATCTTTTATTTGATATTGATGAAAACAGCGCTGCAGATCCAGCAATCAGGTCATTTATAAGCATAACCAGAGCATGAATATGACTAAGAACAGAACCAGTTTTCATCTTGAGAGAAGTTCGGACAGATGATGGATTTCATACAGCGCCTCAGTCGCCTCAGCTGTGAGAACACGAGTCGTTCTCAAGGACAAATGTGCAGCTTGTGAAACCAGAAAGTCGCACAAACTGGAAAACCTTCAGCTGCAGAAATGGAAACAGGAGCCTTGACTTCTGAAAGCTGATGGACACTTTAAATGTCTTTCGAGACGCTCAACAGCGGCGCGTTGTGCAACAACCAGATGCAATAACAACATCCGCTGTGATTCCTGCACTGATTCAGGCTTTTTAGCTCTATTAGAAAGTACAGCAGCTGAGTGCAACATAAAAGGTTTGTGATGGTTGGAGCTGACGGGAACATTTCAGAAGTTTTGTGTCTCTGTGACAAGTTTACTGGAGTTAGACTGCAGGACTCTGAGTGAAGGTCTTCCTTGAGTTTCTTCTATTCTCTCGTCTCTCTCGGTTTTTCTCTGTATCTTCCTCCAGAGGCTGTTTCTTATTGTTCGCTGCAGCGTCTGTTGCTAATGGGAGCGTCTTGACAACAGAGACAATAGAATCAATAGAAAACATGAAAACACGAGACCACACATTGGCGGAGCTGTGATTGTGTTCACGGCATCCATTTCTCTCACAGGGAACAAAGAGCTGATATAATGGACACGTCAACAAACAGTCCTGCTATTCTCATAACAGCCATTTAAGCATCACCTCTAAGTCAAACGGAAACACGCTGCATATGTTTGATTTTAAAACTACGGCGATTACAGGAAGATGCTGCTGTTCTTCCTGGATTTGTTCACATTTAGTCACATTGGTGCCATTAAACAGAGCTGGATCAGCTGTTAGCAGCTCCTGTTGGCAGCGTTTGGAATTCCCTTAAAATATGGGTGCATTAAAACAGGTTTCCAGCTGATTTTTTCTGGTTTCTATGCAGATTTACGAGGAATCAAATCCGATGAAATGATTCAAAACTGACCCAAGATCCAAAGAAGAGGTTTGCATTTTTAAAACAGACTCCTCTGAGTAGTGGTAGAAAGAAAGGAACATATGTAGGACGTCTCCTGAACAATCAAATGTAACATCCATCTATTATCTTCCACTTATCCGGGTCGGGTCACGGGGCAACAGGTGGAGCAGGTCGTTCCAGACCTTCCTCCCCCTGGTGATGCTTTCCAGCTCTTCCTGGGGGATCCTGAGGCGTTCCCAGGCCAGCCCAGAGATATGGTCCCTCCAGCGGGTTCTGGGTCTGCCCCGGGGTCTCCTCCCAGGTGGACGTGTTCAGAAGACCTCCAGAAGAATCCTCTCTGGAGGCATCTGAACCAGATGTCCAAACCACCTCAGCTGGTTCCTTTAGACGTGAAGGAGCAGCAGCTCTACTCTGAGCTCCCTCCAGATGTTCAAGCTCCTCACCCGATCTCTAAGGCTGAGTCCAGACACCCTGAGGAGGAAGCTCATTACAGCCGCTTGTATCCACGATCTCGTTCAAATTTATTTTGGACGTCTGTAGAAAAACATTCATACATTCAGGCTGGTTTCTAACAACAACCAAAAAAGCTCCTGAACAGACGTCCAGATGTTGAACCTGTACTAGAGGTCAGTTATGGAGACCTACAGACCTCCAAACCTACTCTGAGTCTGTCTTTGATCGATGAAAGGCCTCCATACTTATTTGAAGTCTGTTTCTGAAGGTCTAAATGTCTGTATACATGTTTTTAAATCTGACTTTGGGCAACCAAAGGCTTCTGAACACGTTGTGAGTCTGTTGTTGGATGTTTATCGACCTCTATGTACAGTCTAAGGTCTGTTTTCAGACGTCTACAGACCCTCATGCATGTTTCATATCTGTTGTTGGACATATAAAGACCCAAACAGGTATTTTAAATTGTTGAAAGGCTTGTGTGCTATACAGTATGAATATCTGAAGACCTCCACATGTATTTTGAGTCTTATTTTGGCATTAAAAACCTCCAAACATGTTTTTCATCTGTTTTTAGAGCCTCTAACGACCACCGTACGTAACTAAAGTCTGTTTCTGGGCTTCTGGAGACCTGAGCAGATGTGAGTAAAGCAGATTTTGTCAGTCCTGCTGGTTACAGGTGCTAAAACGCTGCAGCTCGACGGACGCTGCCCGGTTTAATCTCTGGATTAGTTCCTGGTCTGTGGTCCTGATGGGACTGAAATCTGTAACCACGGCAGCGTGAGTGCCTCACCGCTCCGTACTGATGCTGCTCGACCCAAATCTAAAAAAAACAAAACCTGTTTTGTAATGTTCATTTGTTAAAGAGCAACGGGTTCAACGGTGGAGCCGACCTCGTGTTCTGTACCGAACTGGGTCATTGTGGCGAATTAAAGCCTCATCCATTATGGATAAATATGTTTTGTAACACTCGTCATTCAGGTGGAAGTGGGACAACGTGTCCTTCAGCGTGTCTTTGTCGTGTTTGCTCTCCACACTGTCATCGATGAGTCCTACAAACATAAACAAGCTGAACATCTCAAGGACGGAGACACAGAACGCCGTAAAGAAAATGACAAGAGAGATGTCACAAAGGGACGATAAAGACTCTCAGGTGTCCAAAAGGAGACGAAAAAGTCTCTCAGGTGTCCAAAAGGAGACAAAAAAGACTCTGGGATGTCCAAAAAAAGGATGATTAAAACTCTCAGGTATCAAAAAAATGTAGATAAAGACTCTCAGGTGTACAAAAGGAGACGAGAAAGACTTTCAGGTGTTCAAGTATCGACAATAAAGATTTTCAGGTGTCCAAAAAAAGACCATAAAGACTCTCAGGTGTCCAAAAAATGATGATGAAGACTCTAAGGTATCCACACAGAGATTATAAAGACTCTCAGATGTCCACTAAAAGACAATAGAGACTCTGGAGCGTCAAAAAAACAATGATGAAGACTCTCAGGTGTTCAAAAAATGTAGATAAAGACTCTCAGGTGTCCACAGAGAGACTATAAAGAGCCTCTGGTGTCCAAAGGAGACGAAAAAGGCTCTCCGGTGTCCAATAGTGTTGTAAAAGACTTTCAGGTGTTCAAGTATCGACTATAAAGATTTTCAGATGTCCACCAGAAGACAATAAAAACTCTCCAGTGTGGAAAAGGAGACGAAAAAGACTCTCATCAGGTGTCCAATAGAGACAATAAAGACTCAAGTATCCACAAAGAGACAAAATATGAATCATGTGCTGTTTGTCCAGAGGA